TGTCGGCCAAATGAGTTGTCGGCGAAGTGTACATGTCGGTCAAACAATTTGTCGGCGAAATGGTGTCGGCCAAATGACCCGGACCCGTTAGTGATGGCCCGTAACGAACCTAGGAGGTCGAAAACGGTGTAATTAATTGCCAATTAAATGGCATTTAATACGCTATTAATAATCATTCAAATGGAATTTTTATGACATTGAACCCAGTTTTTAGGCCGTTTTTTGCCATTATAACTGGGAACGTTTAAATGCATTTATTTCGCACTTTTTTAAATGTCAGAAAACGGTCAAATAACAGGCATTTAACTGCCGTCACTAACACTGCTGATCACATTTTCCTGCCATTTAAATATCAATTTTTAGACTAGAAAATGTCAAAAAAATGTCTTCTAAAACCTGAGGTACTGTCACCGGCACCGCTCGAAGAATCACAGATCACTTCTTCGAGGCAAGTTTCTACGACTCGCATAATCGAAAAGAAAAAGTCTAAATTATTATGTATATTATATAAAATCAGAGTCATTTATACTAGGCATGACAGCAGAACACGGTAAATGAATTGGTGACCATAAACTGGCTGTTAAATGCCAATTTATGATAGCTTTTTTGCCACTTTGAAATGGAGAAAAAACTGTCTCAAAACGGACATGTAACAGGCACATTTATTGGGCATTAGTTAACGCTGTCTAACAAATAGACAAAAATTCCGTTTTTTCGGACATTGACTATAATATGGCATTGTTTTCACCATTATTTCAAAGTCAAAAAACAGTCATTATAATGGCTGGTGAATGCCAATTTTCATTTCATTCTTGTAGGATTAACAGGCCATTTTTTGGCATACAGTTAACAAGCTGTTAATGGACAATTAAATGGCAGTTTTCGTCGACCTGGGAAAGTTGAATAGAACAAATACGTTTAATGTGAAGTATAGGAAGCGACAGAAGGGTGAATATTCACATTTCTGTTCTGTTTATTTCATTATTATGTCTCATTACGCAGAGTCGACGATTGGTATAACTCAGTTTCGTTTGTTCTTAGTCTGAAAAGACAAACTATATTATTATAAAGTGAGTAAACTGCTTGGCAAGTTAACATGTTTACTTCCAAACACAAGACCGTCAAGAAATAGAAGCAACGAACGCAGATATTCACTAAAGAGGATGTAATCATGCGAATGCAATAGAGCCCTCATATTCACTTAACTCTGAAGTACATTAAGCAAACAAACCCACATACATCAGTCTCCTGTATCGCATCACAGCCATATTAAACAGAAAGCGAACGTTACAATTAAAAGAACATCAAATAAATAAGCCAGTATATCAGTAGCTAAGAAAGACAGGCGTATGGACACTCGTCCGATACTTTCAAAGACGATTACAATAATGGGACAGTACGTGAATTACTGAAAACACATTTTCTTTTCTTTTATCCTGTCCCTTTCCTCTTAGCCAAATTCCGATCTACAAGTTGGCACTAGCAGCCATGGCTCTAACTGTTATTCTTGCTGTTTGCATTGTGCCACCGGTTGTCATAGTCTCTCGATACAAGGCAGCGACGGCCAATTCTGGAACAACCAGTAAGAAAAGGATAAGTAGTCTCATCTATACTGGTTTATGAATTGAGAATAATGTCAGTGGAGACTTCATAACAATTTCATTCTGAGAACGACAAACCCCAGATGACAGACTTTTTTTGTCGAAAACGGACTCCATTGAGTAATAATGGATTCTCCCTCAAAAAAGTAATTACACTTCAAAGAAAAAAGTCAGTAACCACTTTCTGCTTACATTTTTTTCTATATACTGATGCAAAAGCAACCGTTTTTTATGTCTCACTAACTGCATGATTAAGCGAAGACATGAAATTTGTATAGTGAGATTTAAAAGAAGCGTCTTGATTCAAATTACCTTTAGTTTTGTTTTATGGCTACAAAATATCCTTGCATAAGTAAGAGCGGTTTGATTCTCGCCGATTTAAGTGTTATCGGGTGCTACGCTTCTAGCTGTAGGGAAGCGCGTAAATCTGAATGGAAACATTTCGGTTATAAACAAGAAAGTAACAAAGAGAATCTGACTGTTGTCGTCGCCGGAGACACAAGAAAGTTGTGGCCAACGCGGCTACTACAGCCCCAACTGCATTCCTATTGCATTCTTCAAGGCAAACCTTATTAATTTTCCGACAGTACCGATTCTGCAGGATTGAAACCACAACAAACACTAGTCTCTCAATCCGTAGTAACCTCATTGTTCTCCATGTGATCCAAAACAGAACACCAACAAAAGGGTGTCTTTCTCACTCATAGGTTCAAACAACACTTGGACAATAGTTGCAAGTATGGTGGTAGCGCGTGTTGCCCATACAAGCACCTTCATTCCCGAAACAAATTCTGTTCTCATCACTGGTGGTGATAGTAATAATTTGTGGATTGGTTCTCCGTCTACGGAGACATTTCTTTCATCGAACGGATCGTCCGCACTAGGAAGAAATATGACAGAAGCCCGATTTCTTCATACAGCCGATCATCTAGGACCACATGAAATTCTGATCGCTGGAGGTTCGAATACTTCGAATGCCGAAGTTTTCGATCCTCTACTTGGAATAACAAACAGAACGGTCATAATGAGTGCACCGAGAATCGAACATAAATCGGCTCTGATTGATTATGGAGGCGTCAAACGTGTGTTGTTAATGGGCGGATATTACGGAGTTGAAATGGATATATCTCCTACGGGTGAGGTTTATGACAATGTAACAGATACATTTAAACCAGTTAACAACAACATGTCTTCAGCTCGGGTTGGCCACACAGCGACTGCTATTCCGAATGGTACTGTAGTTATCGCCGGCGGTTTTTCGGAGACATTCACTCCTCTCGATTCAATCGAAGTCTACAGCAGCGCTTCGAACATATTTGTACCGCTTATTGCACGCCTGTCGCATGCTCGAGGATATCACACAGCAACATACATTCCGTCTATTCAAGCAATATTATTTACCGGTGGTGAATTTAATTATACTTCATCTGTTGCTCTACAAACATACGAATTGTTCGATATACTTAGCCTCACTATTATACGAAATGGAACATTACTAGACCCAAAAACCGGCGGAACAGCAACACTTTTACTTAACGGAGAAGTACTTCTAGTGGAAGGTTATGATGGCTTTAATGATACAATTACGTGCGAGTTGTACAATCCCATGACGGATTTGTGGAGAGCGGCAGCCAGCTTGAACATGGCAAGAGATGGTCACACCGCTACACTACTAGAGAATTCGGGACAAGTGTTGATCTGTGGTGGAGTGATACAACCGAGCTACAGTGTGCTCGACGAGTGTGAACTCTATCATCCGTAGCTCACCCACTTTTGACTGAACGTCGGCAATTGTACACACTAAAACAAAGCGTCGTTTACAAAACCCAAAACAGGCTTAGTAAACTGCAATGACACGCTACCGCTTCAAAAGCTTAGTAAAAATATCCTTTTAGGGTTTAGTAGCTTACTAAACCTGAAAGCGGTAGCGTGTCATTGCATTTTACTAAATGCCTAAAAAGAGGTTTAGTAGCCTACCATTTACTTATATTTTTCGCGATGTAAAAATAAAAGATACGGAAAGAGGCAACCAATAAAAATATCTCAACAGATTGGGTACATCTACAAAGGACATCGCACCCCTTTTTCGTTTACAGAAAACGAGAGAAAAATTGCTAGACTAGTATTGTTGCTGTTCTTAGCTTTTTCGATAGCAGACTGGCGTCAGAATAAGATTTTCGGGATCTCAAACTTATTTTCCTTGTTATCGTTCGAAAAGAAATTCAAAGTATACCTGACATGATGAGGATTAACATAAATTTGTTAAATTTTCATATGAAACGCCAAAGTCGTATCACAATTATAAACAGAAAATGGAACTTTTGAATAGTAAAAGTCCAGCATTATTCTGTTGAAAACTGAGGAATATATTCTATTTCTACATCTAAAATTCTTGTTGCATTTTATTTCGTTCATGCAAAAAAATTTCGTTACACATAGCATTATGTTAAACAGCAAAAGAGAGAAGAATAAAAGAAGCATAACGCCTGTAGTATGGAAGCTTCCATTAGACAAAGAAGACAATGTACAAAATTAACCCTTTACACCCGCCGGTCCCTTCCAAGGGACGTTGATATAATAGATTTATAAAAAGAACGGATCATCAGCCAAAAAGCTAGATTATTACTAATGTAAGACAATATAGTAGCCTAACGTTTGATTGAAAGAAGAAAGAAAAATTTCCATCTTAATCCGACATTCTGAATTTTAAAATTGAATGAAGTTCAGAAATGAATTTTTGTTTTTAAATATTTTCTATACTTGTAGCCACTAAGCCATTTTCTAATTTTGTAGTTGATAGTTTTGGTTGTATGGATGTACTTTATAATGAAATCAAAGAAAAAATTTTTGTAGCATTCTTCTTTGCGTAAAGGCGCTATGAATTCACTGTCCCTTGGAAGGGATATTCGGGTGTAACGACATAAAAAGTGAATTTTTTTATCTTGACATCTTGTTAGCGTGGATCAGGTGATTGATGTTGAGTCATTTTCTATGTTCTCAAGCACTTTCTGATCAGTCGATACTTGTTTCATTAGCTCATTACTATTCACAAACACACCGCTGACTTTGAAACAACAAGCGTCTGGTTAGACAAGAACTGAACTGATTTATGTATTCGTGCAAGAAAGTGTTGACTTCACTGTTACGTGTACAGATACAGAAGAGTAGCTAGCTCCTTCAGAAAGCTCATTCAAGTACATTCGTTATTCTCTGATTTTCTACTTCTAGATAATCGTGTGATGTTCATGTTACAGAAATCTCTTGAGCGAATGGCACAATGTGATTAAATGTATCTTATGCATTGGCCTTCAGAACCGGAGAACATGCTCCTATCTACGTAAGGGAAGTTGGCAGCAGATTTCTATATTTTCGCCTAACCTTTTTTATTAAAGCTGTGCCATCTTTGGAAATAAGTGTGCCAGATAGAACTCGACGAGCTCTATCGAATGGCAAAATCAGTTTTCCAGAATCTTGTTTCCTTCGCTTTTAAAATGACAAATACTGATTTTCCCAACGACATAAAAAGTCAAACTTTTATGGAAATTTTTAGCAAAAGAACACTTTCAACAAACATTCAGGCATCAGCTTCAAGCATAAACATTTTTTATAAGAGAATATGGAACAGTACGTCCTAACAGATATATATGATATTCTTCAATTAATGTTCTATTAGTAAACTATAATCAACCAATCTAGCGTTTTTCAGAGGACAGACCAGCAGAAATATTGTAATACAAAAAAGGCTGTGAACACCTTAATTTATCCACAACATGTGTCTAATTGAACAGAAGTTCATCGGCTTGTTGAACAATATTGACATAAAATGAACACCTTTTTATTTTACCTATTTATACCC